AAAATGAAATGCGTCGATATCATTGGAGCGAATGCAACGGTGCCAGGTGAAACACCGTGGCCCAACTCGAAGCGGAGCGGAGCTAAAAAAGAGCGTAGCCCAGCTGTGGGCGCGGCAGATATCCCGCTGTGTCTCTCCAATATGGCCGCCGCTCGTATGCACACCCACGCTGTCTCTCCTTCTCAGCGCGTCCTCCATTTCTTTCTCGTTCAGTTCGCCGCATCAAATTACACGCTCGGTGAAGTAATTTTCAAAGGCGCGTCCGTGATCGAGCGTGATGCAGAAACATATCTGTTACCCCCGGTGTCCCGATGCACCGTGTTAAAATTTTGCGATCACCGATAACGATGCTCAGAGATTAATGACTGCCCGCGCCAGTCGACCCTGTCTTTACCCCATACGCACGTTAACCGATTCCTGAGATTGATCTCTATGAAATTACTCGTACATGGGGCAAATAAATAGTTGTACCCAGTAGCGCGATCTGTTACAGTGAGAACGGACATGTAGAATGTTCGGTGCGTTTGTTGCATCGTACGTTTCATCCCTATCATTTAACATTACCAAACTGAATTTAGTAAAGATTATTATTCTGTTTCTTTGAGTCGTCGTGAAATACTGTTTCGCTGATATTAATATTTAAGATTTAGAATAAATTTAACACTTGTCGTAATAACAGAATTCCTTTCGTATATGGGAAAATATTAAGGAGAAAGTAAAATCTTGAGAGTGAAGTTTTAAAAGAATTCGTATGGCAAGGGGTTTTAACAATAGAACTACCAAGTTAGTCAAAATGACTTGTCAACACACTTTTACAACGACGATTAAAATGTTATGACAATAAAATTTGTCAGATCTTTTGCACCTTTTATTACGATATGAAAGTGAAGAAATTAGTCAATTTCAAAGTTTCAAAATTTTCAAATGTTTCTCACGTTTATCCACCGGGCGAAGCAAATATGCGTTTATCGTCGGTAGTTCTAGTGTTAACTTACCACTGGTGATAGACAATGATGATAACAGGACGACATTGTGAGAATGTAAATGTAAATATTGATCATCTTGATTTTGTAACTTAACAAGCTGCTTGTAGAACGAAAATCGGCTGTTCCACGAGATTCCAGTTTATCATTGAACTTTATTGTCCGAAAGCTTTTTCTCGTTACTGTTTTAAAAATAATTGTTGCTACTTGAATGAAAAATCGTTTCACAGATACTAAAATAATTAGAATATGAAGTAAGAATAGTAATGTAAAACCATCAAAGTCAGTCAAGCGAAGAAAAGCTACTATCAAATTAACAGTCTTGTCTGCAATGGGTGCCAAAAAGAAATTCAGACATATGTATTCTGTTTTAATACCGTTTATGATACGTAAAAATTAGTTTATTTTAGAGTATTATACAGTAAAGTTTGTATTAGCACAAGAAGGCGGAAAAAATGGCTGTTTAAAAAAATTCAATGGGAATGTAAAATCTGAGCAATTCAAAATAATTCTTGATGGGTTGGCTTAAAGGAGCTCGTTCTTGAAGATTATTTTCCATAATTTAAAAGAGTGTCATATTTATATAAAATTTAATGTTATGCGTATCGAAATCCATTGTTTCTACATATGTATTACTATAGCTGCAATCAAATAATTTGAAGATGCTTAGTGGTACAGTGAAAATAGCATCTGTAAAAACCTCTGATAAAAAAGATGGCAGGTTTAATTTTCTCATGCGGCAAAAATGTTTTCAGCAATAAGATAAAAAAATGATGGGGATAACTCTGCTAGCACTAATCCGGAATATAGTTGTTGGATTAAACAAAATTTTACTGAATATTATTTATTACGTAAACACTCAGCTATTCAAATCTGTATAACATTTTCTTATTATTGTGTATAAATTGAGACTATTAGATTAGTTTACATTTTTTAACAGATATTACAATTTCTATGCATACTTCTTTTTTCATTTATAATAGCACGTCTTATGTTATACAAAAATACGTAAAATAAATAAAGAAGAATTATTCATTAATAGACAAGCCACGGTTTATTCTGTTCATTTATTCCAACGTATGTAATCGACAAATCTAATCGTTTTCTGATTCAATTATCCATTCAATCATTATACAAGTATTCGTCAAGTTTGATGTTACTCGCCAGATGTTTCTTATGAAAATTGTAACGAGACTTTCGACTTGCCTCGTGAACGTGCGACGTCATTATGTAGATACATTGTCCTTTTATCATGAATGCAACACAAAAATCATACCCGTTGCTGCTGCGATACTGTATGCAGTCGCTGTTTGCTGTATGTATAGCCACTTTATGCGCATATGTGCTCTGTAAACACATTATTTATTACTTGTTTCTAGAAATGTAAAATAAAATAACGATGGCAAATTAGTAACGTGTCGACCAATTATACTGGCACGTGGCTAATTTTCGACTGATTTTTCTACTTTTCTATATGTCAATCTGATTTGATTGACTACATATTCTAATTTCTTCTCTGTTATAGAATGTATTACATTATTTATCGAAATGTGCAGATAGGTATAACTTACCATACTTGACTTTTGTAATCATATTCTCGAAAATTTACAGAATTTTTAATAATTCTGTTCTAATTGAGCTGTAGCATCGGCCGGCGTATCTATATAGACTTGCTCTGGTATAATATTAATATGTTTAAATTAGTACATAAACTTGTATTAAACTGTTAACATGAACATTTCTTTTTTTCGTTGTGTTTTTAAATGACTGTATTTCTCATGCAACAGGAAATAATTCTCAAATTGGTGTTTTATGCTGGTTTTTATAAATTGTTAAAGTCCAATAGAGTTAGAATCTTAATTAAGAAACTTGAGTGAGAACTGAAACTTTGATGGTTAAAAAGTTTCATGATAACCAGTTACTTGAAATATATTTCTTTTAACCCTTTAACGCCCAGACTCTTAAATCGTTATTTCAAAATTATGAGACTGATATACGTACATATACATATGTATGTTATATCTTGTTGTGTATTGTTAAGTCAAAAGTATCAATATTAAACCGATCTGTTCTTCTTTTTTTTATGTACATATTGTTGGACAGAATAGGTGAATTTCTCAATTGAAAATGTTGAAATCTACTTCACATCTATGAAACTACGGATCCTCGCTGACAGAAGTTAGATAGCAAAAATTAGATATTAATCGGCGACAGACTTTGACGCACTTTTAAAATGGGTGTTGCATCGGTGCAACACTAGAAATTAAAGGGTTAATGTTATAGCATATACAGATTTGAAAAATGCAATAGTATAATCTATTTAACACTGGAACTACTTACCAAAGCCGTTAAAATAGCGGCTTTCAGACTTCTTGTTTCACAATTATTACTGACACATTAAGTTGCTACTCGAAAGTTATATTTTTTATTTACTATAGATTTTATATATTTCTAGTGTTAATAAGAGAAATTTTATATTATCTTCGATTGCGTCTTTTTAGGACTGTGTAAAGATAACCAACTATGTAGTTTATTATACCTACTAGATTCTTGTCCCGACACCTACGTTTCTTTTCATTTCTCAGTTTTATAAAAAAATATTGTCAAAAAATGTCACAGTTAAGTTATTCGCGAAATCTGAAAAATTACGCTCGTCGCGTACATCACCGTTATACCTGATGCATGCCTCGTAATAACACCAAAATTTAAATTAGCGAAGAAAATCTGTAGATTAGTTAACGAGGCTGAATACGAACTCGGCGAAATTGGCTCAATTAAAAGCTACGGGCCAGCTGCCCCGACGATTTTGCCCCGTCATGTGATTGATCCCTTTTCCCAGGTTCTTTCTTCTCCTTTCGATCTCCTCTATTTCGAGATGCATCGATACTCGACCATCATTAATCATGCACTTTTGTACACACTCGTCGATGAAACTCCCTACGAGGGACATCTCGGCCGCAACAAAAATGTCTCTCATGGGCCGTGATTACTGACTCTGAACAACGATCGAAACCAGAACTTATTAACTTATACGAATAGAGGAGAGGCAACGAACGAATAAAGGAAATTAGTGTACAATAAACTGTTTGTCGATAGTATATAAATTACAGTATTCAACGTTACATAATGAAAATTTTAGGAACTCTTACTCGCTGTTGCAACATCTGAACGTACGGTGTAATAATTCGGCAAATATATCAATTCGGTGAAAATAAGATTTTCTTGTCTTCGGCTTATTTTATTGCAAGAATACAGTACGGGAAAGGTGTGTAAAACGATACCTCGGGGTAAAATGATTCCTGGCTGCCATGTGGCTATTAGTGGTGCTATATCGTAATGTCGTTCTACAATAGTTCTCCCCGCACGTCACTTGTTGCTCGAAGTGCCATGTGAATATCAGTACTCTGTGTGTTGTCTACAAGAAAAATTTAGAATTACTGCAATTTATCTAAGATAAGGTCTTTTTCAATGTTGTGTAACTTTTGTCATAAGCGGTTTAATGTGACAGCTGCTTCTTGCGCAGATTTAACCACAATTCAATAATAAGTTAATTAATGTTCCGTTACCGCATGTAATAAGTTGAGGTTATATTCAACCACTGAATGTGAGTTGGGTGTTTAGGGTCATATGATCCCAGGAATCATTTTACCCATATGCTATATTATTGTTTCTTTATTTTAATTACAACAATGCTCTATCAGTATGAAACAAAAACAACGCGTCAAAGCTGTCTTTATTTAAATAAAATGTAATAACTGAAATGCTTTTTAATGTTCGCCGTATTTACTATCAGTAGGTATAAAACGATCCCCGGGGATACAGATAACACACAAAACAAGGCTTCCTGTTAATAGTAAGCTATTTTAGTTAAATTTTTGGGTGTCAAAAGATTTTCGGCGTCCCAATTATCGCGTTGTTCAAGGGCTGACTGTATTACTATGATCATGCTTAACCTGTGCTACGTTATATGAAGTTTGTAATTAATTGGAAGTTTCATACAAAAATTCATGTTTCCAGGATATGGATTTAATCGAGGTGCTCTGGAAGCAAGATGTCGATCTCGGATTCACATTGGTGGAACCAACTGCCACCACGAAAAAAGCGTCCACGTCGGAGAAAGAAACCGAGGATGACATTGAGAAACTGAAAACTCTGGAAGCGATCAATGCGAACAACGAGAAGGTTTGTAAAATTGGATCCACTCCTATTATTCTTTTCACTGTCGTTTTCTAACGGGAACCAATCCTTGGCTATAATTCAGTTCGAAAAATGACTTCGGTGTCTGCGACGCTTTCCCCCGTGTACACACTGTAATTAGCAATTAATAACGTATTGTTTATCGAGTGTCAGCTACTTTCTGCTTTCACATGCCGTAAGTAGATTACGGCGTTTTCCTCTGCCAAGTCCCATTAGAATTACATAAATTATACAGATTGCTCTGACATTCAATCTTTCTGTATCTATATTGAATGAATTACACGAAATTTATTTGAAAAGGTTATTGCACATGAAATGAGCAATTTTTCTGATAGGTATATTTGACGTAACTTTTATGAATGAAAATTATTGTCATAGCTGCTTTAATTGTTGAAAAATTGCACAGCATATTCTCACTTGTTTCAAGGTATGTACTACCTAACTTAACAATGAAATCAACTATGTTAAGAGTTAAAGTTAATTAAGATAGTGAATCAATTTCAGTAAGATTCGGCCATTTTCTCCACATGCATTGAAAAATCGACACTTAAGCCAAATTTATAAATAAACTTTATAAAAATAAGTTTCTGCTAAAAAATACTATTTAGCGATGACAAGCTAGAGGTGTCTTTGAAGAGTCATTTTCAAATTCAGTATATGTAATAATTATTTAATGATAACATGAATTTAACACTTATATTTCAATGAACAACGTGTATGCAGTTTACTCAATCTTATTATGATTATGTAATAGAATTCGTATAATGTGTAATACAGGTAACATCATATGCAATATAGATAACACTATTTTTACACAATTTTAATCGTCTCTCTTTAGGAATGTTCTTAGATCTGCGAAATGTTAGTAATAAGACGATCATTTCATGTGCAACAACCTGATATGTACCTATATCTCCCATGAACTCCGTTCGTAAACTTTCAATACCGTGTCGAATTTTTTGAAAAAATACACAAAAGCTTTGACTTTTATCCGGGGATATTGAAACGAAATTGGGTCTGCTATTGTCCTCATTCCAATAAACACGCAGTCAAAAACAATTTCCGTACACATTTCGCAGATCTAAGAACATTCTTAAAGAGAGTAGATTAAAATTGAGTAAAAATAGTGTATAAAATCGTAACAACATTAAAGAAACGAAAACGTGATTCGGTCGAAATAGACCTAAAGGACGTAGCAGCGAGTAATGAATAATATTTTCTTATATTCAAGAAATGAGTGGTGGCAAAATATTTAAGACATATGGTACTTAATCACTTATACAGTTAACATCGCGAGGAAAGTAATCAAGATCCAGTCAATAGCGATCAATAGCTCGATAGTTCAAGCGACTAAATTTAGTCGACTGAAAGTAGTCGTTGGTTACTATCGACTTAGTCGATAGTTTTCAGTCGATGGTGCCCATCACTAGTGTGTACCCCCTTTGCACTGGTAACACTAGAAGTGTGTCGCTACACGGGCACGTCCCATGCTTGAATTATTTCGTAGCAGAATATTCTTCATTCTTTACCCTGGTGAGAATTGGAACTTTCGTTCGTCGGAAACAGCGAGGAAAGAAAAAAGTCACGATTTGATCATATTAATACTCTGGCAGATATGACCATGAGAAGCAAGCGATCCGTGTCGATAGATCAATATCGATTCGTGAAGTCGACGGTGAGGCATTAAACAAAGGTGACGCCACTCGCTTGACCAACAGAAGAATTCGGCACTCGGGGTGGCTATCTCTTTACAATCTCTCGGCCGTCTCTGTTCGGATCCGTATAAGAATTCTACAGACTATGCCTATCAAATACACGCATTATGTCGTCTCATAAATAATTTTTTCCGTTTCTTCCAGTTAATACACATTTTGAGTATAAATAAATAACTGTTATTGTAAAATGATATGAAAAAAAATACTTCTATACAAGAAATATCTTATACCAATTAGAAAACAAATGTTGCTACTTTATACATATAATAGTATCTTAAATGTATATAATTCCATTTAAGAAAAAACAAGATTTGATCTTCATAGGTCTTCTACACATCCACTTACAAAAAAAACTAATCAGGTCAAATTATGTTGTCCTCGAAATCATTCAACTTTTATCTAATATTTCACTTTTATCAAACATTTCCCACTAAAATCATTGCTTACGAAGTAATCGAAGTGGCTCCAAACACGTACTCCACCCTCTATAAAAATTGACTTTTACTTATACAATTTGCGTTCAGTTTGAACGTAACTTGTAAAATGACTCCTGAATATTGTTTATGTAGTTATATTTCAATAGAGTATGTGCATACAAAAGAAAGACTGTTTGGATAATAAAATAGATTCTTACAATGAAAACTTCTTACCATTAGGTACTGCTGAAAATAAGTAACGATATATACATCTATTTCAATAATTTTGTAATTAGATCTTCCGAAAATATTCAGAGTTTTCTGCTATAGAAAACATTCGTAGAAACATGGATGAATGATTTTCTGTGTACCTAAACGAAAATTGACTTGTTTGTTATAGACCAAGAGAGAGAGAGAGAGAGAGGGGGGTGGGGGGTTGCAAGACATTTGATCACTACACTTTATGAAAAGTTACAGCTATATATTTATAAAATTCTTTTCTACTGTCATAATAAAAATGTCATTGATTTAATTAAAGAAGTTCTCCAAGTCAGACTTGACCTACCGAATGTGAGCGTCTTTTAATTCTTATCAAGCCTCCGCATGTGGCTCCCAGTGTGGTAATCGGTCAAACATAGATCAGTCAAAGGTATAATCCTGCAGAACTCGTGGGAGCCATGTTCGGTAGACACCAAAAAGATTAGGCTAGAAGGAACCATCCCACGCGCTTTTGGATAGGATCTCGAGCGGTGCTTTAAACCTCCAACTATCGGCTCCTGATCTTGTCTTTCTCTTAATTCCTCCTGCGTGGGGATTCTTTAAAATCTTCGATTCTTATCACATTCTTCCGTACCAGCCTTTTTGCTTCCCTTTTCATTGTCTATTCTATGCTTCGCAATACCACAATACTAATTATCCGGACAAATTCATTCGGATAAACGGTTTTTCAGATAATTTGTCCTGGAGGACCAAAGTCACATAAAGTGTCACAGAACGGTTAGATAATAGAAATCGTACTATTTTTATGGTTCCGTCGTTTCTTCAATCCATATCACTATTTTCTGCAATAAAACTAGATGAAAGAGCGTTATCTTCGTTCATAATTTTATATTCTGGATTATCTTTACGTACTTGTAAGCATTCCTGAGTATTATCACAATTAAAATCTTAATATTTTATAGATTGCATTACCAATTAAAGCGTTGCACACTACAAAACATTCGTATTGATTGTCTTCCAGTCATCGGTAGTTTGAATAATTAACGTTTCCGATAATCGACGTTTAACTGTAATTGATTGTCAGTAATCTTCTACATGTGTATACGTGAAAACTAATTTCATAACGAGATCCGTAACAGCAGGCCTAAGAAAAAGCATTCAACATAAAATAATAGAACCATCAATATTAATAGTGGTCACCATTGTTATGAGAAACTTTTACAAAATATTTTGCTTCTTATAATCCATCGCCAAGTGGTTGTAGACGAAGAAATTTTAATCCAATTACAATTCACTGAAGCGAGAGGTTATGGTACGTGTAGCATTCAGCGACGCGTGGTCTGCAAAGAGTGAAGAATCGCGTCTGCATTTGGGGCGATTGATTTTATTCATTTTCCATTCTACGACGCCACTTTTTCAACGTCGATTTCCTACGTCCTTGGAGCGTTTCGGTCGATGGGCACGAAGAGCATTTAAGTATCCAGAAGATTCGAGGCTACGAGAGCTCATCTATACTATGGTCACCGACAATGACGTTGCATCGACGTTCTGGGCGGGTAGCCCATCAGACTTCTCGACGTTCTTTCTCTTCTCTTAGTTTCTCCGTTCTTCTCACGACCTTCGGTAGTTGGTATGCTCCTTCCTTCTTTTTCCGCATCGCTATCTACTTGCTCCGTCTCTTCGGTTCTTCCTCTTCGAAGATCGCATTGTTCCAGCGGGTTCCACCTTTGTGAAGGCACATCGCCGCCCTCGAACGTTCAATAATACGGGGAAGATCGTCGATCCCGATCGAAACCGGACACATTGATCCACGGTGTGGTTCGCGAACAACCAAGAACAATAGGAAATCCAGTCACTTGTCCTATGTATCCTCTAACATCTTCTCCTACGTATCGACAACCGTTGTTTCGGTGCTTAATTTTCAGTGTGCTCTGACCAGGTATAGCTTACTCCATACAAGATCTAGAAACGTACTCATTTTTTGTTTGAATAAAGACGGAAACTTGCTTCATAATACAGTACATTGCTCGTTATTTGGAAAACACAGGAATAAAGTAACAGGGCGAAATCATATCACCACTAATCTGTCGCATACGTACACCCACGAGCAAACTCGGCTTCCGTTAGGGGGAAAAAGTGGCGTAAGAAAAGAGCTTCCTACCATTTAGCAAAATTCATTTCAAATACTGAAATAAACGTTAAACCGAATGTTAATTTCGCATAAGTTTCAATAACTCCGAAACCAAGTGATAGGAGGTCTTTCCCTTACATCACTTTTTCCCCTAGCGGAAGCCGAGTTTGCTCGTAAGGGTATATATAGTAAATTACTAGGTGTCTAATCCACAAATTGAACGGGACTCACTAATAAAAATCTGAGTTTTTTTTTTATATTCAGGCCTCTACGATATATGTATATACATATATTTAAATTGGAAAACATTACTTTCCGAAATTCTTTTTTATATACAGTCACTCGGGGGATGAATTGGAACAAGTTTTTCCTTAGCAACAATGTAATCTGAGGCTTCGTTACCGAGATATTAACGAAAAACCCCGACCAATCAGAGCGCGAGTTTGCCAGCCGAGTTCCCGCGGTAGCGTTGACTACAAATCGCAGCGCGTAGCCACCGCTGCC